GTGTTATGTGGTCCCGGCGGCCGCTCCCGGTCACCAGTCTAGCTGCCGCATTCTGGATAAATTGCAGTTTCCGGGTCACCTTCAAAGGTAGCCCCACACGTTGACTGTGTAAGACCATCCTCAGCACAAATAATAATTAATGCTTGATTTTAAAGACTTTGGTGGTCCCCTTTGGCCGACCGGTTTGTGTGTCTTGATGGAAACCAGCTTCCTTCAGTGAGAACCTTTGGCCCTCCAGATGTTGAGGAACTGGAATCCAGTGGTATCTCGTGGGCTAGAGATTCCTTTTCCCTAGTCTGCTGTCCCCAGTGCCCAAAACCCTCTTGCCGAAATAATAATAATAATAATAATAATAATAATAATAATAATAATAATAATATATTATTTATACCCCGCCCATCTGGCTGGGCTTCCCCAGCCACTCTGGGCAGCTTCCATCACAATATTAAAATACAATAGTCCTTCAGATATTAAAAGCTTCCCTAAACAGGGCTGCCTTCAGATGTCTTCTAAAAGTCTGGTAGTTGTTGTTCTCTTTGACATCTGGTGGGAGGGAGTTCCACAGGGCGGGTACCACCACCGAGAAGGCCCTCTGCCTGGTTCCCTGTAGCTTTGCTTCTCACAATGAGGGAACTGCCAGAAGGCCCTCGGCGCTGGACCTCAGCGTCCGGGCAGAATGATGGGGGTGGAGACGCTCCTTCAGGTATCCTGGGCTGAGACAATTTAGGGCTTTCAAGGTCAGCACCAACACTTTGAATTGTGCTCAGAAATGTCCTGGGAGCCAATGCAGATCTTTCAAGCTGGCTGTGGGTCTCTAGAGCCTGTGGAGAAACCCAGCAGCTCAGGCCAGGCTCCCGGTTGACAAATGTGCCTTCTGGCCACACAGCCGTCGGTCAACAAAACGAGAAAGGCGATGGGGCCGAGTGGGGAGCGTTTGCCAGCCTCCGCTCTGGGTTGGTTCCGGCAAGTGTGGGCTTGCTGCTCCGCCATCTCTCAGAAAACACCTTCTCAGTCAATAGTAACAGCTTGTTTGTTTGAGAAGCGGAGAAGGCTGAGCAACGGAAGGGCTTGTCCGACATCTCAGGCGGCTGCACGTTCAGCAGGGGGAAACGGGATTCCTGATCAGTCATTTTTCAGCCGTGTAAATACTTGCAGGACAAAGGCCCCAGTGGCACACAGAAGCCCGGATCAGGGAGATTAAAGAGCCCCGCTGTTTATCTTCCTTTTTTCTCCCTCTCTCTCTCTGTTTGAGATGCAAATGATGGGTTTTGAAATATATGGGAGGCAGGAGCACCAGAGCCCTTTCTCCTCCTCCTCCTCGCTGTGATGTTTTTAGCAGCTCTGTGTTGAGCTGGGCATTAAAAGGGACTTTAAAGACTAAGATAATCAAAGGTGGGTTTCTGCAGCTGACAAAGGGAAAAGGCGTGTTTATTGGAGAATTGAGTTTGCAGGAGTGGAAGGGAGAGACATGAGAGAGGCCAGCGTCACAGGAATTCATGCCCACGTTTAAAATGGAAAGATTTCACTTATTCATTTCGTTTTTCATTCATCCCATTTGTTGTTTTTTTAGTCATTTAGTCGTGTCCGACTCTTCGTGACCCCCTGGACCAGAGCACGCCAGACACTCCTGTCTTCCACTGCCTCCCGCAGTTTGGTCAGACTCATGCTGGTAGCTTCAAGAACACTGTCCCACCATCTCGTCCTCTGTCGCCCCCTTCTCCTTGTGCCCTCCATCTTTCCCAGCACCAGGGTCTTTTCCAGGGAGTCTTCTCTTCTCATGAGGTGGCCAAAGTCTTGGTGCCTCAGCTTCAGGATCTGTCCTTCCAGTGAGCACTCAGGGCTGATTTCCTTCAGAATGGATCGGTTTGATCTTCTTGCAGTCCATGGGACTCTCAAGAGTCTCCCCCAGCACCATAATTCAAAAGCATCAATTCTTTGGCGATCAGCCTTCTTTATGGTCCAGCTCTCACTTCTGTACATCACTACTGGGGAAACCATGGCTTTAACTATACGGACCTTTGTCGGCAAGGTGATGTCTCTCCTTTTTAAGATGCTGTCTAGGTTTGTCACTGCTTTTCTCCCAAGAAGCAGGCGTCTTTTAATTTCATGACTCCTGTCACCATCTGCAGGGATCATGGAGCCCAAGAAAGTAAAATCTCTCACTGCCTCCATTTCTTCCCCTTCTATTTGCCAGGAGGTGATGGGACCAGTGGCCATGATCTTCGTTTTTTTTATGTTGAGCTTCAGATCATATTTTGCGCTCTCCTCTTTCACCCTCATTAAAAGGTTCTTTAATTCCTCCTCACTTTCTGCCATCAAGGTTTCATTTTCTCCAAAGAGCTCAAGGGGGCCTGCACATTTCTCTTCCTCCTCAATTAATTCCCGCAACAACCCTGTGACAGATAGGTAGCCGTGTTGGTCTGCCATAGTCAAAACAAAAAAATTCCTTCCAGTAGCACCTTAAAGACCAACTAAGGTAGTTCTTGGTATGAGCTTTCGTGTGCATGCATGGTATCTGAAGAAGTGTGCTTGCACACGAAATCTCATACCAAGAACTACCTTAGTTGGTCTTTAAGGTGCTACTGGAAGGAATTTTTTTGTTTTAACAACCCTGTGAGTCAGTGACTGGCCTAAGACCACCCACTGAAGTTCATGGCCAAGTGGGGAGTTTCTTAATTTCGTTGTTGTTTGTTATTAAGTAGGACGTCCTTATTTTCATCACAGAGATTTTGAAGGGTATGTAGTTTTAAGGGACGAGGGTGGCGCTGTGGGTTAAAACACAGAGCCTAGGACTTGCCGATCAGAAGGTCGGCGGTTCGAATCCCTGCGACGGGGTGAGCTCCCGTTGCTCGGTCCCTGCTCCTGCCAACCTAGCAGTTCGAAAGCACGTCAAAGTGCAAGTAGATAAATAGGTACCGCTCTCAGGAGGGTAAATGGCGTTTCCATGCACTGCTCTAGTTCGCCAGAAGCGGCTTAGTCATGCTGGCCACATGACCTGGAAGCTGTCTGTGGACAAACACCAGCTCCCTCAGCCTATAGAGCGAGATGAGCACCGCAACCCCAGAGTCGGCCACGACTAGACCTAATGGTCAGGGGGCCCTTTACCCTTTACCTTTATGTAGTTTTAACTGATTTTTATTGTCTTTGGTTACTCATGTATTGCTGAGATATTGTTGTGATTCAGTGGTATGCAAATTGTTGAAATATATATATAATAAATATTTTCCGTGGAAATGGAAGCATTTACTTAATTCTTAGTGATGCCTCTCAACATCCATATTCCTTTTTCTTCATACACTTTAAAAAATTATTCTTACACAACTCAAAGATAAGGAAAGGGAAGGGAAAGGAAGGTAAGGAAAGCCCTCCAGCATTTTTTCTCCATCCATTTCTATGCAAAAAGGCAAAACGAACTCAGTAACCCCAACAGAAGAATGCAAATAAAGTCAATGCACAACTGACCTGCAGACTCAACCTTGCAGCTGTTTAAAGGGTGGAATTAATGCGGGGTTTTGGTTTGGGGTTTTTGTGTGTGTATATTTGCAAGGAACGCAAGTCTGCTGAGAGAACTTCTCTGCTCTGCTCTGCTCTTTTGTGGGGAAAGAGCTGTGGTTTGCACACTTTGCACATGCTCAGAGCTCTTTTCCCTCTCTGGGTTCTTGCTTTGACCAGCGAGCTCTGAGTTCAACTCTCCATTTGGCCAACAAGCTGACTGGGTGACCAGAGCTTGCTTGTGTTCTCTCTCTCTCTCTCTCTCTCTCTCTCTCTCTCTCTCTCTCTCTCTCTCTCAGCTACTTCACATGGTGGTTGTTAGAATAAAAAAAGGGGGACATTATTTACATTTTATTTTATTAGATTTACTTTAGTTTTCCAGCCTGCTTTTCAGGGTCTCGGCCCTCACGAAGTAGAGTGCAACGTACTTTAAAAAAAGAAAGAATTTCAAGCCACAAAGAGAGAAATACCCAGCTAATCATTATAGCCACCTATTTATTCCAGCGTGCATTTGGCTAATTTTAGTGTACTGCGCTTGTAACTGAGGTTATTATCTGTGGCTGTTATCTTATTTATTGTCTTAAGAGTGCAGCAGGAGACAGTTCCTTGGTTACGGGTTCAATCCACAGTCCTCTTAGAATAAGGTTAGCAGATTTTTTTCAATGAATCCGGGGACACGTTAAATAAATAAATACATAAATACTACACTTTGGGACGTTGATGCTGCAGCGATGGCAGTGGCAGAGGGGCTGCGGCCGCCTTGACCTCAACCACCACGTTTCCCCTTCCTCTGAGGCTTCTATCTCCTTTCTCCATGAGCCTGGGCAGCCCCTGAGTTGTTGGTTCTTCAGTGGTGGTGGGTGGGAAGCGTTGCACAGTGGTTCAGGCATGGAAGGCGGAGAAGGAGGGCCGAGAGTAGCAGTGGCAGTGAGGCTTGGGCAGCGCAATGCCTCCCTTCCCATCGGAGCAGCCCCAATCCCACTCCTACTTGCGTGTAAGCAGGAGGGGGCAGGGATCTCTCAGCCAGTGTGATGCCTCCCTTCCCATAGGAGCAGCACCAATCCCATTCCTACTTGTGTGCAAGCAGGAGGGGCCGGGATCCCTCAACTGGGCAGGGAGGCTTCACACTGCCTAACTGAGAGATCCCTGCCCCTCCTGCTTGCACACAAGTAGGAGATGGGAGGCTGTTCTGATAGGCAACATGAAGCCTCCCTTCCCAGCTGAGTTGCTGGAGTCAGGGAAGGGGGAGGCAGCCCGGAAGCTGCGTCTTTGAGCCCCTGCACCGCCATCATTTGGGGACTTCTGAGCAGCTCCTGAAGCCAGCCAGAGCCAACTGCTCCGGGCTGCTGAGACTGCCGCCACTGCGTTTCCCGGGGACATTAGATGAAATCCGGGGACATCCCGGGGATGGAATTTGTCCGGGGATTTATTCACAAATCTGGGGACTGTTCCCGGGAAACAGGGACATCTGGTAACCCTATCTGAGAATGCCCTCCTGTCCTTTCCAGCAACTGAAGCACCCCAACTTGGTCAACCTCTTGGAGGTTTTTCGGAGGAAGAGGAAGCTCCACCTGGTCTTTGAATACTGCGACCACACAGTCCTCCATGAGCTGGACAAGAACCCACGGGGGTAAGTAGCTAGTCCCTGGTGTGACTCCCCTGTAACCCCTCTGTCAACAAACCAGTACAAAACAAGAGTACACCATTTGGGCACCGGTTTAGAGCCAGTTGGACAAGGCTGGGTTTGGGGCCCTTTACTCGTGACCCCGGTTTGAGTGACAATTGCTCAGTTTGGGGGGGGGCGTCACAAAAAGTTGGGTTTGTGGCACAAAACCAGCACAAAACTTTGGCACCTGTCTGGAGTCAACCAGACAAGATTGGATTTTGGGGCATTAACTTGCGACTCCGTTTTTGCTTTATCAATTACTCGGTTGGAGGGGCAGCATGGAATATGGAGTTCACAGCACAAAACTATAGCACAAAACTTTGACATCAGTTTGACGGGGGGTGCAGAATTTTGGGGTCACACGTTAATTCAGTGAATGCTGGGGACAGATGATTTTGACTTACTGTTGCTGCGGTTTGATTGTTTTAAGATAGGGTTAGGTTCCCAGGGACAGTCCCCAGATTTGCAAATCTGTCCTGGACAAATTCTGTCCCCGGAATGTCCCCAGATTTGCAAATCTGTCCCTGGGAAACATGGCAGCGACAGCCTCAGCAGCCTGGTAGCGCAGTTGGCTCTGGCTGGCTTCAGGAGCTGCTCGCTGCCGTGGTGCCCGCCATTTTTACTCGCCAGAAGTCCTCATATGATGTGTCTTGTGCGCATAGGATGTGTCTTGTGCAATCTCCTGCCCCCTTCCCCCTTTGTTTGGACTGATCGAGGGAGGCTCGGGAGTTGCGGGCAGGCAGCCGTTGCCCAGTTTTTTTAAAAATCTGTGCATTTATGTTTCACAGGGTGTGAAAGAAAGCTTTGCACCTTATACAATATGCATGTGTACCTGGGCCCAGGATCTTTTGCCTCACCATCCCCACTACTGACTCCCTGTTGCTACTCAGCTTCCAAAAAAAAAAAAAAAGGGTCCCGGAATCATTGAATAAAATCTGGTAACCATATTTTAAGAACACAAGAAGAGGCTGCAGGATCAGGCCAGTAGCATAAGATGGAGATGCTCACTGCATTAGCATTCCTATTGAAGATCTTGCTTGCCCATTAGGTGTCATTGTTTTTTTGGGGGGTGGGTCATAGCTTGGGACACAGCGCAGAGAATGAGTCAGGACTCTTCCCAGCTTCAGTCAAGGATGGTCCCCCGGCAGATTCCCTTACACCCAGGAAGACATTGTCTGCAGCCTGCCTTATATCAAGGGGCAGGGCGTTCCAAAGTGGATCATTGGCGGCATCTTCAAAAGCAGAGACATCACCTTGCCAACAAAGGTCCGTATAGTTCAAGCTATGGTTTTCCCAGTAGTGATGTATGGAAGTGAGAGCTGGACCATCAAGAAGGCTGATCACCAAAGAATTGATGCTTTTGAATCATGGTGCTGGAGGAGACTCTTGAGAGTCCCATGGACTGCAAGAAGATCCAACCTCTCCATTCTGAAGGAAATCAGCCCTGAATGCTCATGGGAAGGACAGCTCCTGAAGCTGAGGCTCCAAGACTTTGGCCACCTCATGAGAAGAGAGGACTCACTGGAAAAGACCCTGATGTTGGGAAAGATGGAGGGCACAAGGAGAAGGAGACGACAGAGGACGAGATGGTGGGACAGTGTTCTCGAAGCTATGAACATGAGTCTGACCAAATTGCGGGAGGCAGTGGAAGACAGGAGTGCCTGGCGTGCTCTGGTCCAGGGGGTCACAAAGAGTCGGACACGACTAAATGACTAAACAACAACAACAACCATTTGGAGGCCAATTGACACCTTTAGGCAGACAAAATGGAATTGCCCATTGCTTTCTTTATCATGCCTCCTTCTCTCTCTCTCTCTCTCTCTCTCTCTCTCTCTCTTTTAAGTATATCTTTATTGATTTAAAATAAATACATTTATGGGAAGACGGACAAACGAACAAATAAACAAACATACAATCAAACAAACAAATAATGAAGAAGTCAAACAAACAACCACAATATAAGAAACAACAAAATTAGTATAACGAACATCATTTATACTCCCGATACTGAAATCAGTTATAAAACTTATAAAGAAAGAAATTAAAAATGACTTCCAATTAATCTCACTGTACTTTATCTATCAATTACCTTATACCGCACAGTTGCATGTTTCTTATCTAGTCTCTTTTTAAATCATGCCTCCTTCTCAACAGCGTTTTTGCTCCGAGAATCAAGCAAACCACAGACTCCAGTCAAACCACAACCTCTGTTTCAGGGAGTGGGGGGTTGAGAACTGGGCCTGCCGTCTGGGGTGCTGCCATCGTGAAAAGAACTGCATTTAAATTATTTTCGTTTTAAATCTTCAGGAGAGGGCAGAAAAGAAGTCCCAAACATGCTGTGAATTCTTGAGACTGGACTGGACAAGTACAACATTTTAAAAAACAACCACCATCCTGCGAGACACATCGTTTTTGGATTCCCCATGGATGAGACCCCATCTCTGGGGGAACGGGGCAAGGGTGGTCCTGTGCAAGCGGTTGCCAGGGGTCTCCTTCACTGCCTGCAGTATGTGGCAGCAGCAGCAGCAATAAACCGTCTCCTAAAAGTCACACAGGGGCAGCTGCTGTGACTTTCACTGGTTCTGGCGCCTGCGAGAACCCTTTCCCCTTTCATTTGTCATTTTTATCACCCAGTTTTCCTCCGCACGATTGTTTCAGAATTGCTGATTCTGTTCACATGAAAAGTTTTAAAAGTTGTGTCAGCTTCTTCTCTGAGCTTCTGGGACCTTCTGCATTCAAAGCAGGTTTTCTGACACTAAATGCTCTGGTCAGACCTCACCTGGAGTACTGTGTCCAGTTCTGGGTACCACAGTTCAAGAAGGACACTGACAAACTGGAACGTGTCCAGAGGAGGGCAACCAAAATGGTCAAAGGCCTGGAAACGATGCCTTATGAGGAACGGCTAAGGGAGCTGGGCATGTTTAGCCTGGAGAAGAGGAGGTTAAGGGGTGATATGATAGCCATGTTCAAATATATAAAAGGATGTCATATAGAGGAGGGAGAAAGGTTGTTTTCTGCTGCTCCAGAGAAGCGGACACGGAGCAATGGATCCAAACTACAAGAAAGAAGATTCCACCTAAACATTAGGAAGAACTTCCTGACAGTAAGAGCTGTTTGACAGTGGAATTTGCTGCCAAGGAGTGTGGTGGAGTCTCCTTCTTTGGAGGTCTTTAAGCAGAGGCTTGACAACCATATGTCAGGAGTGCTCTGATGGTGTTTCCTGCTTGGCAGGGGGTTGGACTCGATGGCCCTTGTGGTCTCTTCCAACTCTATGATTCTATGAAATTACGGCCAATCTCTGTGTGTGAACAGAGGATGCTGTGTTATACAAAGCCAGACTCTTTGTCCACCTACCTCAGTGTTGTCGACTAACTTTTGCCCCAAACTTACCTGGAGAGATACCGGGGTTTTCGGTGCATAGCTAAACTATGGAACTCACTGCCACAGGAGTCAGTCCTGGCCACTAACCTAGAAGGCTTTAAAAAAGAGAATTAGGCAAATTCATGGAGCAGAAAAAGGCTATTGATAGCTATTAGCTACGATGGCTCGGCTCAGGCTCCATACTTGGGGGCAGCAATGCATTTGAATACCAGTTTCTGGAAACCGCAGGTCCTGCAGCAGGGAGTTCCAAAGGTTCGTTGCACATTGCGCAAGACAGCTCTGTTTATTTCCAATGCACATGAGCACATGTTCAGTGAGTGGCTACTAGCCACAATGGCTAGGCTCTCCCTCCACAGTCAAAGGTAGCAATGGTTCTGAATACCAGATGCCGGAAACCCAGGAAGGGGAATGTAATAACTGTAGGGGTTACTCGTGCGCAAGTTGGTGCCACTCCTGGCTAGTTTGCCTTGTTAAACCTTTTCTGTCTGGACAGCCCTACACTTCGTGGCTGTTCAGTCGCTGGCAGAATCTGTCAGTGGGCGTTTCTTAAAACTTTTCCAGCATAAAAGTTGTTTGACTCCAAGTCTCCTCCTACTCTCCCTGCGTGGAAGTGTTTTGCGCAGGGAGGGTGTGGGTAGCGGAGGACCCGTGCTTTCCTCGCTGATCTTCGGCGAGGAGTCCTGGAGCCCCCTCGCCGATTCCCCCATCTGCCCCCCTTTATCCCTGGTGTTACGCTGATTTCCTTCCCCAGCTGGTGAGCCGCCTCTCCCCCTGCTGGGCCCTTCTCCAGCATCGCTTGAGAGCCTCGCCTCCGCCTCTGGCTCCGATGTCAGTTCCCTGACAGGGAAGACGGCTCTTGTGCTTGAATCCTGCTTGTGGGTTTCCCATAATAGACATCTGGTTGGCCACTAGGAGAACAGGATGCGGGACTTGATGGGCCTGGGGCCTGATCCAGCACGGCTCATCGCAGGTATTGCAGTTTCCTGCTTAGAGGTGTTTTGTTGTTGTTGTTGAGTGGGTCTGTGAATTATGTTAAGTAACATAAAATACTCCTTCATGGATCACTGCCTTGTTGTGGTGAAGGGGCTTGAATGACTCAGAGAAGCTATGAGCTATGTTGTGCAGGGCCACCCAAGATGGACAGGTCATAGTGGAGAGTTTTGCCCAAAAAGCAGAGACATCACCTTGCCAACAAAGGTCCGTATAGTTCAAGCTATGGTTTTCCCAGTAGTGATGTATGGAAGTGAGAGCTGGACCATAAAGAAGGCTGATCGCCGAAGAACTGATGCTTTTGAATTCTGGTGCTGGAGGAGACTCTTGAGAGTCCCATGGACTGCAAGAAGATCCAACCTCTCCATTCTGAAGGAAATCAGCCCTGAGTGCTCTCTGGAAGGACAGATCCTGAAGCTGAGGCTCTAATACTTTGGCCACCTCATGAGAAGAGAAGACTCCCTGGAGAAGACCCTGATGTTGGGAAAGATGGAGGGCCCAAGGAGAAGGGGACGACAGAGGACGAGATGGTGGGACAGTGTTCTCGAAGCTACCAGCATGAGTTTGACCAAACTGGGGGAGGCAGTGGAAGACAGGAGTGCCTGGCATGCTCTGGTCCAGGGGGTCACGAAGAGTCGGACATAACTAAACAACAAAACCCCAGTGCAGGAATACAACCTGTCACCATCCCTTCCCTTTGCTGATAGACTTGTGTCAAGCGGTTGTGGAATTTCAAGCTCTTTCCTCCTTCTCTTCTTTTTAATTTTCTTTGCAGAGTTCCGGAGCACCTTGTGAAAAGCATCACTTGGCAGACCCTCCAGGCAGTGAACTTTTGCCACAAGCACAACGTAAGTCTTGCTGTCAGCACAACCGACCTGCAATTCCATTTCCCCTACCATCTCTCCTCCCTAACCCTATTTCCCTATTGGCTGCCTGTGCTGGCGTCACTCTGCAAGCGATCAGATCAGACCTCTGGCAAGAGCAGCCTGCCCACCCGCTTGCAGCCCCCTGGGGTGCGAAGGAAGGGAGATGAAAGGGGTGGGGCCTGCTAGGGATAGGGGGAGAAAGTTGGCGCTTTGCATTTAAAGGGGGGGTACCTAAGTCACACATTCCAAAACAACACGCAGACGGAAGCAGATGCCCTTTGAACTTTGCACTTCTCTGAAACCTTGCAGTGTAGCCAAGTATTTTGTGCGAAATGCAGATACTAGGATAAAGCCTTCAAAAAATGCGCACATTATTTTAAAAAGCATGCAAAAGTGCATTGTTTTAGGGGGAATTGCTTTGCAAAACTTAGCGTGTTGGGCAGAATTGCTTACAAACTTGTGTATATTAGAAACCCACACCAGATGCTGATGAATTCTCACGAGGATGGTGTTGTTGTTTAAAACAACAACCACAAACTGTTCTGGGAATGTGGAGAACAAAACTTAAGATTCTTTGAATATTGCACACCACCTTGATATTTTATGATATGGCAGTACAGACTGCCTCTATAAATAAATACTTTTCTCATATGTTAGTTACAGGGGGGGAAACTATTACAGTGTGGAATGTTTCTGTTTATTACCATTTTTCTTCCTTCCCCCTACAAATAAATGTGGGCTTTTCAACATGATAATAATAATAATAATAATAATAATAATAATAATAATAATAATATTAATAATATTAATAATATTAATAATAATAATAATAGGCAGGCCCAGATTGCATCAAGGGCCAGATCCTAACTGGGGCTCCCCATTTGCCACCCCCAATTTTAAATACAGTGGTGCCTCGCAAGACGAAATTAATTCGTTCCGCGAGTTTTGTCGTCTTGCGATTTTTTTCGTCTTGCGAAGCACGGTGTCGGGAAAGTTTTGGAAAAGCTTCAAAAATCACCAAAGTCTTTAAAAAACCTCAAAAAGGCTACCACACTGCGTTCTATGAGTTGCTCCTCAAAGTCAAGTCGCAACTGTATTAACGGTGTTAAGAAAAAGGAAACAAACTTGCAAGACGTTTCCGTCTTGCGAAGCAAGCCCATAGGGAAAATCGTCTTGCGAAGCAGCTTAAAAAACAAAAAACCCTTTCGTCTAGCGAGTTTTTTGTCTTGCGAGGCATTCGTCTTGCGAGGTACCACTGTAAGGTGAAGCCTCTAGCTTTCTACTTGATTGTCACATTGACAGCTCTTCCTTTGCTTCCAGTGCATCCACCGAGACGTGAAGCCAGAAAACATCCTCATAACCAAGCATTTTGTCATCAAACTCTGTGACTTTGGCTTTGCTCGCATCCTCAGTAAGTGCCTTCATTTATCGCTACAATTTCTGTCTCTCTATCTGCTAAGCAACTGGGCATGGCTCTCCCTGCATCTACTTTTCCTATATAATCCTTGGAATGTATTAATAAAATTCAGCAAATGAGGAATATATGGGGAAAGGGAGGAGCTCCGCTGGTGACCTTGACCCTTCGGGATTATTGTTGGGTAGATCACCTTTTGTATGTGATTCTCATCTCCTGCTCCCACCCTCCCTTATCCAGCTGGGCCCAGCGATTACTACACAGACTACGTGGCCACTCGGTGGTACCGGTCTCCCGAGTTGCTCGTGGGGGACACCCAGTATGGCCCCCCCGTGGACGTCTGGGCCATCGGCTGCGTCTTTGCAGAGCTGCTGTCCGGCATCCCTCTGTGGCCAGGGAAATCGGATGTGGACCAGCTTTACCTGATCAGAAGGACGTTGGGTAAGTCCTTGAGAGGTGCCAAGGAAACAGAGAGGCGTTTTTCTTGACTGCAGCTGGCTACAATCTGTCTCACTCTCCTCTCCATGGTAATTGCCGTGGAAGGTAGTGGAACCATAGCAGAATAAAATGCAATTATGGCATTCGTTTCCATTTGCAAATGGATTTTCGCCGGAAGCAAATAACCGAGAAAAGAGAACCAAACCTGCATTATATTCCACTATGGCTCCAGAAGAGGGTTTTATGGCGTGCGAAAGCTCACGCGTCATGCGAAACGTAACACGGAGGGGATGGTCGTGAGTGTCAGTTTGCATTTCTTAGTGCAGAAAGTATTGATCTGATGTGTAGAGATCTTTCCTATTCTACTTAATTCAAGAGGGTTCCGGAAGCTTCTCTGTGTGAGAGAAGCAGGCAGAAAGTTCATGATTGTTTGGGTTATATACCTTCAGAGAAACTGAGTACAGCTGGTTAAAACTGGTTCTCTTATCTCTTTATAAAAGTAAGGCCAGAAGGAGCCTGAGATTCACTTTCTCTTTCTGTCTCTCTTTTCTGGCAGTATGCTGAGTGTTAAGGTTTAGACTTATCATAAGTTAAGTAATTGTAAGTTTGTTAAGTCTGCTGCAACTGGATTTCTTAGGGACAGGGCCAGTCCTGAATGTATTGGATTTGTGACCATTATGCTCATTTGCCTTCAGTAGCAGTAAAAGCTCTGCTGGATGAAATTGCCTCTGGTCTATTTTGGGGGAATCCTGCAATGTGTTCAACTTTTTACTCTGCTAACTATACAGCGAAATCTGCTCTGGATCACTATTGAGTAGACTTCCATTGACGGTGAGCCCGAAATACACTGCCATGGGAATGCACCCTGAGGTGTCCCCCGCGTGGCCCATTTGGAATATCTCCTGCACAACCCCCACTATAAGGCACAGGACTTGCACGCTGTTTTGAGAGAGACAGGTTGGCCAGGGAGAAGACTGTTGGAAAGGGTGCATGGAAGTGTAAGACACCCATGGAAGATGGAGAACCCAGCCTCCTTCCCTCTTCAGCAGGCTGCCAAGGCCTTCTTTGTGATCACTGCCTTCTTAGCATTTGGGTTTTCACAGTGCAGGCTAATGTGGGAACTGAGTTGGGGATCAGAGGTGGCTTCTTCCATCCAAGGACATCAGCACAGCAATGGGGAGGAGTTGTGGTGGACCGTGTGGCCACCCACTCTCCTCCGGGGGTGGGGGACATAGTCCCGTGTTGCCCGGGGGATCTTGGCCGCGTCTGCGACCGGCCAGCCAATCAGCTGGACAGGGGGCGTGGCCAGGGCCATTTAATCAGAGGCGCAAGCTGGAGGGCTTCTTCTTTGGCTCGCTTCCTCAATCTCCCACCCTCCTTCTCTATTTTGCAGGTTTTAGTCATTGGCCTTGCTATGGACCTTGGTTGGTCGCCATTGAGGGGCCTGGTACAAATGTTTCCACTTGGCAAATTGGCACTGGCCACTTGGTTTTCGCCTGCCTCGTAGCAATCGTCACAACTTTGTTAGGGTTGCGGTTAGGCATTGTTTGACCTTGTGATGTGGGAGGGGAGGTGTGGCCATCACCTGCCCCTCCAAGCTTAAGGGTATTCCATTAAAGGAATCCAGGGGTGTGGATCTTGTCCGAAGCCCGGGTCGAGGGCTAGGGCCATGACACGACCCCCGACGGGAACAGCAGGGAGAGCTTGAGTTGGTCTGCATCGATGGGGCTCCCCCTTCCGGTGGTTGACCCTTACCGGACTCCCTGCGCAGGAGTCAGGAGTCAGATATAGCCGGGTCCATTCAATGCCTAAGCCAATGCCGCTCACATTCTGTAATCAATAAAGCTGTGGCCAAAATTTGCCCAATAACATTAATTCAATATTTGTGTCCTTGTGTGTGTTAGTGCCACACTAAAAGACTGAGATATTACAAATGCAGAACAAATGCGGATTTAAGTGTGCTTCTTTCCTTCTTCTCCAAAGGGGACCTCATTCCCAGGCACCAGCAAGTCTTCAGCACAAACCAGTTCTTCAGCGGGGTGAGAGTTCCAGACCCAGAAAGCATGGTGAGAAAGCCACCACCCCCCCCCAGCCTTGCACAAGTCCTGTTGCAAACAAGACACAGGAGGCTCCTCCGCTTCCTAGGTTTTTAAGGCCTTTTTGGGTCTCCAGGCAAAGGATTGCTTTTTTGTTTTCGGCTGCTTGGAGATGAGGCCCATTGTCTGGGAACTAGTGACCAGCTCAATGGAATGACTGGCTCCTGGATGTGGTTTCGGAGACACGTAGACGCTGGCAATTGGGACGTCTGCGCCCGCATTTCAGTGGTTGGGAGGGAAGGATCACTCTTGGAAACGGAGAAGAAAATTGAAGGTCTCCAGGTCCAAAGGGGCAAGATTGGCGCGTCTGCTTTCTGACCTGTCCAGGGAGCGAGTTCTTCTTCAAATATAGAACTATAGCCGCTCTGAGCCCAGCTTTGGCTGGGGAGGGCGGGATATAAATAAAGTTATTATTACCATATTTTTCGCTGTATAAGACGCACCAGTCCACAAGATGCACCTAGTTTTTGGAGGAGGAAAACAAGAAAAAAAATATTCTGAATCTCAGAAGCCAGAACAGCAAGAGGGATCGCTGCGCAGTGAAAGCAGCAATCCCTCTTGCTGTTCAGGCTTCTGGGATAGCTGCGCAGCCTGCATTCACCCCATAAGACGCACACACATTTCCCCTTACTTTTTAGGAGGGAAAAAGTGAGTCTTATAGAGCAAAAAATATGGTATTATTATTATTATTACAGTGGTGCCTCGCAAGACGAAATTAATCCATTCCGCGAGTCTCTTCGTCTAGCGGTTTTTTTCGTCTTGCGAAGCAACCCTATTAGCGGCTTAGCGCTATTAGCGGTTTAGCGGCTATTAAAGGCTTAGCGGCTTAGCGGCTAAAAGGCTATTAGCGGCTTAGAAAAAGGGGGGGAGCGAAAAAAATCGCAAGACTCGCAAGACTTTTTTGTTTTGTGAAGCAAGCCCATAGGGAAATTCGTCTAGCGAAGCGCATCGAAAAACGGAAAACCCTTTCGTCTAGCGAGTTTTTCGTCTTGCGAGGCTTTCGTCTTGCGGGGCACCACTGTATTCAGGTTTTTTGAAGTGGGAAAAAAAACATGAAAGGGGGGAGGGAATGTTTAAGCCAATGATGCTCATTATTTTGTCCTCCTTTCCCCCCAGGAGCCTCTAGAAATGAAATTCCCAGGCATTTCCTACTCGGCTCTCGGACTCATGAAGGTGAGCACATACCGTGGTTTTTTGAGGCTGGGCCAGGCTTCTACAGGCTGCTTTGCATACAGAAAGTCCCAGATTCCGTCCCCAACAGCAGGACGAGATTTCAGGTTTACCATCCACATTAAAATGCACTAACATTTTGAGTTGGCTCTTTTCCCTTCATCCCTGCTTAACCTTCTTTACCGAAACCCAGTTTAGCAAGTTTAACCATCCATTTCCATTTCATTTGCCTAACACTCATTGGAGAGGGCCATTTGGAACTCGCTGCTTTGCACGCCAGTTCCGCTGCCAGCTTGCAATTAAGTTGATGATTGACCAAGCCCTCGGCAGTCTTTTTCCCATTTCTTTTTTATATAAGCAAACCAGGAAAGGGGAGTAAACAAGTGGAACTTGCAACGAAGCATTCACAGAGCGGAGTGTTTCTGCTCGGCCGCTCCATTTCAATCGTCTCCCAATTTCCCTCTCCCTTCTCCCCCAAAGTCAGCTCACATTCTATGCCCACTAAGTACTGCTGGGTTTGAGGTTTTTTGTGTGTGAACCCATGGGCTGTTTCCCTCCCCTCTTTTTGTCAGCTCTGCAAACCTCTACAAGCCTTCCGAATAAAAAAATGTAAGGTCATATATATATATATATATATATATATATATATATATATATATATATAATGTTCATAACTGCATATCTAAACCACATGTCTGAAACCCCACAGAAAAAGTCCTGAAACCATTTTGTCCCTCCCAAATTGACCTCATATATTTCTCTGCAAGGTCGAAGGAAAATGGAAAAGGCCATTAACAGGTAAAATGCCAGAAAGGAGATAAACAATGCACTCAGATTTCTGCTGTAGACCACCTTTTCTGTGATGTAGGTATGATGTATCTGGGGGGTGGTCTTGGGCTACACCCCTTCTGTGATGTATGTATGATGTTTCTGGGGGTGGTCTTGGACTCCAGGGCGGGCAATTTAAAATATCTATATAAGGGCTTGCGTGCATGGCTCGGGTTTAAAAAAGAGAGAGATCCCCCCCAGAACCGCTAGG